TGTAAGTTAGAAGCTGTTTGAAAGCAAAAAGTTAGCTCCCCAAAATGGGGCCTGACAGGTTAAGATTTCCCCCTGCCCAAGAATGCAAGGATGGTGTAACATTAGAAAGTCTATTGATAGAACTCACTATTTTAAATCATAACTGGAGAGAGAACGCAGGAATGAGATAGACCTGTAGGCACTGGTTTGGAAAGTTGGCCGCCCTCTATTAAGTGGGGAAAAAAGTGAGTTGTAGAACAAATATATTATGATAGTATTCATATTTTTAGAATAACAAGAAAAAAAAACTAACGAAGAACTCTGAGTGTGTCAGTATAGAAACACATACACAGAGACACACACTTTACCAAACCAGCTATGTGACTTGAACTTCTCTGTGCCTCAGTCTTCCCATCAGTAAAATGGCAACAGTAAAGCAACTGCCTCATAGGGTTGTTATGAGGACTAATGAGATAATCCTTGAATAGGATGTAACACAGTGCCTGGCACATAATAAATGCTCAGTAAATGTCATCATTATCATTATTATTTTGTCAAAGAAAGATTCAGACGCTGAAACATTTAGAAAAGAAAAAAAGGTACATGAAATGCAAGCGACCAACCAGCTAGCGGCTAGCTGCTAGCCAAATAAAAAGCACAACCCAAGTATTTAAAGGAAACAAATACACAATTGCCAAGGTTACCAAGTTTTACCTTAGTCTGTTCACGATAATTTAAATAAAAAAGCAAAACAGTATCTTTCTCAAAAGATTACAGTACCGCCCTAGCTGGTTTGGCTCAGTGGATAGAGTGTTGGCCCCAGGTTCGATTCCGGCTAAGGGCACATGCCCAGGTTTCGGGCTCCATCCCCCCTAGTGTGGTGGTGGGGGGGGCAGCCAATCAATGATTCTCTCTCATTGATGTTTCTATCTCTCTATCCTTCTCTCTTCCTCTCTGAAATCAATTAAAAAATAATTTAAAAAAGACTTTAAAAAAAGATTACAGTACCCACAAAGGAAGTGACTTACGTTTAATCGCAAAAGGGTGGGGATGAACTTGTCTTTGCCAAGACTTATGGAAAATACTCAGCTGTAATGCTGGGGGGTTGCGGACTAGACAGACTGGCCCTGTTATTCCTGGTTTGTCTCGGGGTGCAAATTGCTGTTTCCTTCTCCTGACTGTGATGCACATGATGCGCTTACTCACACTGAAAGCAAGAGAAAGTGTCAGTGTTCCTTTCCTATTATTCGTGGGAAGAAAAAAATCTGGAAGCAAATGCAAACTATTAGCAGTGGTTATCTCTGGGAAATGGGACTGAGAGGAGTTTACTAGTTACTGCACATGTCTCTGTAGTGTTTGAATGCTTTACATGTTCACAAATCACACAGGTAGTTTGTAAAAGAGTTAACGAGATCATATAAATTTTAAATATCTAAGCCATCCCTTTTCTGTCTAGTTCTTCCACAGCAGATGGGATAGTTTGCTTTCTAAGCTCATCAGGAAAAAATACATATAAACTGTGCACTTTTCTCTAAAATCCATTTCTACCACTTCAGTCCATAGCATCTACTGGGAGACGCTAGTATGCGACTCCAATCTGGAGGAATTACAGCCAGTGAATTGGGGAGGAGGCACCAGTCCCCTCCTACTTCACTGCTAGATTTCCACCCTAAAGCCCGAGAGCCTCACAGTGATGGTTTTAGAGTGAAATCTTACAGTTCCGGAGTATGCAACCTCATCCTTCCCCCTGATCCTCATATCCACCCAGCAGATTGACCCATGGTCAGCCCCTTTCCCAAGAACCAGAGGAGGAAACGAATCCATAAGAACACTCGTGGGGAGAGAACAGTTCACAGTTGATACTGAAGGAGGCTTTTCATCTATTCTTCAAGCCAAACATGGTCCCATTCCTGGACCGACTCAACGTCTCCCTCATGAGCCCCAGAGAGATGGTGATTTGCAGAGAGAAGGGTCACAAACAAGAGGCCAGATTGGCAGCAGGTGATGGAAGGCTGGGCAGGATTTGGCCATGGCTTGCACTGTACCCAAACCCCCCGCGTCAGGCGACCTGAAACTAACAACTCAAGTGGCCCAGGGACCCCCACATGTCACCTGTGCTCATGGGCAGAGCCTACACACATAGATGTGGCACAGACTGGCTGTTCTCACCACCTCTGATTCTGATAAGGAGCCCAGATAATTCTGTTGCACTCCAAGGATACCAAGTTTTTTTAGGAAGAACAAGACAGGTATATGTGCTCAGCCAATGCTAACCACTCTTCATGCATTAATTTATTATCCAGGGTGAAAAAGGTACTATTACTATTGTCCCCAATTTACAGATGAAAACACCTGGAAAGCTTGGTAACTTGCTCTAATTCTCACTGCTAATAAGACACAGGGTTTGAACTCAGATCACTCTGAGTTTAGAGCCCATGCTCTGTTACACACTTCCTTGGGATAAATTTGAAGGTGCTGAACACTATAACCTTGCAGGACATTAAGAATCATTGCCAAAGATTTTCAATCCTGAAAAGCTTAAAAAAAAAATACTGTGGCAACAACCCAGGTGTCCATCGATGTGTGAATGGATAAACAATATGTGGTCTATACATACAATGAAATATAATTCACCCTTAAAAAGAAAGGAAATTCTGACACTTTTTACAAATGGATGAACCTTGAGGATATTATGCTAAATTAAATAAGCCAGACACAAAGATATTGTCTGAGTCCATTTATATGAGGAACCCAGAGTAAGTCAATTTCACAGAGACTGAAAGTAGAATGGTGGTTACTAGGGTCTGGGGAAGGGTAGATTGGGGAGTTAGTGTTCACTGGGTACAGAGTTGGAGTTTGAGATGAGAATGTACTTAATGCCACTGAATTGTACACTCAAAAAGAGTTAAAATGGTACATTTTATGTTATGTGTATTTCACCACAATTTCTTAAATGTTTTTATTGATTTTTAGAGAGAGAGGAGGGGAGAAGGAGAAGGAGAAAGAAACATCAATCAGTTGCCTCCCACATGCTCCAGGGATTGAGCCCACAACCTGCGACCTTTCAGTACACAGGACGATGCTCAACCAACTGAGCCACACCGGCCAGGGCCACAATTTTTTTTTAATTGATGTCTGATCCCCACATCAGTTATATCAGAATCTTTCCAGAATAGGGCCCAGCTATTTATTAAGATAATAATAATAACAACAACCAGGTGTTTCTAATGAGCACCCAGGGTTGAGAACGCCAGGGTTCGGGACTTGGAAATCTGAAACTCGCCGTGCTGACAGTCCCTGGCGTCACTGAGCTCTGGCTCTCCATTCCCACAAAGGGCTGAAAGGAAGTCCTTTTCATTGCCGAGTCCCCTGGCCTGTTGCTGACTAAGGTGGCCTGGATCCAAGAATTAATGGAAGCTTCCGGAAGCAGAAAGCCCTGTGGCATACTGGGTGTTTCTCTGGCTTGTAATTGACTGCATAATGCCAAACCCTCCCTCACTTAATAGTCCAGGAAGAGGAGTGATTATCATGCAAGTGCTGTGATTTCAGGATGAGGATGTGAGGTTCCCACTGAAATCTACAATGATGGAGTCCCTCTTAGAATGCGTGTTTCCGGTCTTTGGGCTGCTGCACAACTTTGGGGGGGTTCTCACAATGGGAGTTATGATAGAGGCTTATTATAAGTGAGGAATGGCGTTGGGCCTTCAGCTCAGCAGCAAGCATTCTCGGAGCACCCCCACTTTGCCTGGAACTGGGCTAGACTCCAGGGGGACCCCAACATGCCCTTAATGAACCACATTCTGTAGGGAAACAGACATATTCATTCAGCCAGTATTTCGTGAGCTCCTACAATGGGCAGTATTTAAAATATTAACAAACTTGGATGCTCTGCTGGGCCCAGGGGCAACCCTTTAATTGTTGGATCGCAGTGAGGTCAGGGGAATTCAGGGGAGAGGCCAGGGTGGTTGGGACATTGGAGGGGTAGCTGCTATTTACCAGCCAATACAGAAACATTCCAATATTTTAACATCCGGGAAGGCTGTTTGAGTAGGTGAATGACAGTTTGACTTGGGCATAGAGGTGAACAGGTCAGCCCAAGTCCCTGACATCATGGATCAACCTTCTAGAGCAGGGATCCTCAAACTTTGTAAACAGGGGGCCAGTTCACTGTCCCTCAGACCGTTGGAGGGCTGGACTATAGTTTAAAAAAAAACTATGAACAAATTCCTATGCACACTGCACATATCTTATTTTAGATCAGGGGTCCTCAAACTTTTTAAACAGGGGGCCAGTTCACTGTCCCTCAGACCGTTGGAGGGCTGGACTATAGTTTAAAAAAAAACTATGAACAAATTCCTATGCACACTGCACATATCTTATTTTGAAGTAAAAAAACAAAATGGGAACAAATACAATATTTGTATTTGCATGTGGCCCACGGGCCGTAGTTTGAGGACCCCTGTTCTAGAGCAGGAGTAGAGCTTTTCCCATCATGGACCAAATAAGGTTTCTAGCCCTCTTAGGCCTTAGGTCTCTGTCCCAGCTATCCAACACTCACTGTAGCACCAAAGCAGCCACTGACAAGAGTAAACAAATGAGTGTGGCTGTGTGCCAATAAAACTTTATTTACAAAACAGCAGGCTGAAGGTGGCCCATGGATCACAGTTTGCAAACTCCTGTTTTTGTGGAAGAGACAGTAAACCCATTTATTCTTTCATTGTACAAATATTTATCAAGCATCTTCTCCATGACAACTATTGCAGTGGGCACTTGAATAAGGTAATGGTCTCTGCCCACATAGCACTTACACTCTAATGGGAGAGGCCAAATCAGTCATTTCAATGTGCTGTGGTAAGATGGAAGTCATCAGGAAATACAGAAGGGGAAGTTAGCCAGCCTGGGAGTTCAGGGAAGGCTTCCTGGAGGAGGTGGTTATATGTTGCCTGCTCAGATCAGCCTGAGAAGCACGTCTTTCCTTGTGGGTTGTCTGTCATCACTTGCTCTTCCCTTGTGTCCCCCAGTCTCTGAACAGCTACAACAATGGAGACGTGGAAGGATCCAGGCGGCTTGGGAGGAATGCCAAGTGGGTGGCCATTGCCTCCATCATCATCGGCCTTCTCATCATCGGTATTTCTTGTGCAGTTCACTTCGCAAGGAAGTAAGTAGGCTTTTTGGAATCCCTCCCAATGTAGAATAATGCCCGTCAGGATCGGGTAGGCTGGGTTAGGTTATTCTCTGGTAACAGACAATCCCAAGCAAAAGCATTTCCATTTTTTCTTCGCTGTGGTTACATGGGCCATGGAGGTCTGGGAAGGGTCTCTCCTCCACGGGATCATTCGAGGCCCCATGCTATCCAAAGCTCCAGCATATCGTAGCTGCTCTATTTAGAACAGAGGTCAACAAAGTTTTCCAAGAGAGGGCCAGATAGCAAATATTTTAGGCCTTGAAGGCCATATGTCTCTATCACCATCTCAGTCCCAACTACTGAACTCTTGCCATTTTCGCACAAAAGCAGCAATATATGATATGTGAATGAATGGGCATGGCTGTGCTCAATAAAACTTTATTTACAAAAACAGGTTGTTGGCCTGTGGACCATAGTTTTCCAACCCCTGATCTAAAATATGAGGCCTCCTCAGGCTAACCCAGGGGAGAGAAGACCAGAGAATCCCACCTGGGTCTCTGCTGCCTCAGCCCTGGAGTGGCAGATGTCACTTAGACTCACAATTGGCTAAAACAAAGCACCCGTCCCACCTAACAGTGAGAGAGCAGGACTGTGGGCGCATGCATGGGATACTTGGGATTATGACTTGTTCTGCCGACACTCGGATCTGCTCACTGAGTTCCAACATGGTTTTGCACTAAACTAGCCAAAATGTTCTTAAAGGGCAGAAGGGTCACCACATGTTTTGGTACTGCCAGCGAGCTCTCACCTCATAAGGAATGGATGCTGTTGATGTTTCTTTCTGGATTTGGGAAAACTTATTCGGATTTCTCTGATCAGCTGAGATGGGCTCCATCTGCTAGAATCAATGACCTTTTCCATCAGAGGTTAGACAGAGGGTAAGGTCATGTGACAGACAACCAAGACTCAGAAATGAGAGGCCCAATCCATCTGTGTCTCCCTGTACAACTCCTGGAAAGGCAGACAAGAATTCTGGGAAATTCTTTAGCTTTACAGCCAGAGCAGCACGGTTATTCCCATACCATTTACCAGGAGCTGAGTAGGTCGGCCTCTTTGGCTTGATTTCAAGAAGGGGTCAATGGGTGAGTGAGGGGGGAAGAGGACACCCTTGAGCCTGCCAGATCAGCCAACCCACCCTTGGCAACCAAGAGCATAGTGGATGTCACAGTAGCTAAACTTCCTATGGTACAAGCCAGATCCAGGAGCAATCAGGGCAGCTGGATGGAGGAGGAGATGTCAAAACAGGGAGTGTCACAAAGGAAAGAATGGGGGGCTTTGGGCAAGGAGGGAACAGACGTGAGGCAGATGGCTGAAAGTCTCACAGTAAGGTGGGGCAGTGGGGGGACTTGCAACCAGGAAGTCTGGCGCCATAGAATGCTGGGTTAGTAGTACAGCCATCTGCTTAATGTCCCTAAACCTCAGTTTCTTCCTCTGTGTAATGGGAATGATAGTAGTACCCATTTAACAGAGCTATTGTGAAGGTGAACTAGATGATCCACAAAATGTGTATAACAAGGCGTCTGTTCCTTAGTTGGTGCACAAAAAATGCAAACCATTTCTTAATCCTGACACTACTATTGTTATCATGCCTGGGAGAGCACCTGAGAACTTAAGATGCCACTAAATCGAGTTCAAGGCTTTGAACTCATGAGCCAAACTCAAAGGATAGTGTGTGTTCCAGGAGAACAAGGCCAAGTCCTGGCTTAACTCCTAGGGACTTCGGAAAATACATACTGCCCAGAGCCAAGCTTGAGCTAAGTGGGTTATAATAATAGTGGCGGACACTCACATACCAGATACTGCTCCAAGCCCTTACAGGAATCAATCCTCAGGGACTCCTCAGAGCAACCCCATGAGGTATTACTATCCCTGGTTCACAGGTGAAGGAACTGAGGCTCAGAGAAGTGAAGAAATCAAAGATTTGCCTGATGTCTCACAGCTAGTGAGTGGTAACGGCAGGGTTTAAACCTGGAATATCTGGCTCTGGAAACTGTTCTTAACCACAACACCACACAGCCTCGAAGCCAACGTGTGCCTTCTGGTATACTCAGTAACAAAGGCCAATGGATGGCACTCGCCCTGCAGCTACCTCCAGAATTGTTTTATATGAGGTTGGTAGGTGAGGTTTCAACCTATGAAACACCACGTGATGAGTCAGAGCCAAGGGAAAGAAAATCAAAAAACTTCAGGAGTTAGTAAAAAAAAAATACATGAATGAAGCAGCCTGGTTGTGGGACAATAGGGTGTGGTGGGGACTGGGGCGAATTAGAGAGGAGCAGCCACCACTTGAACAGAACAGCCACCACTCTGCTCCAGCTAATTGTTACCACTTAGAATGCAGACTCCATGGGGCCCATTTTCCCAAAGACATTGGAAAGCTGGGTTTTCATTTCAAATCTCCTGACTTTTAAATGCTGACGATCAGTTCACATTGCTTAAATACATGGTGAGGGTCAAAAAAAGACAAAACAAAAACATACAACAACCACATCAGCAACCTAGAGATTATCTACTTTACAGTCTCTGGTGGACAATTTGGATTTCAAATTTCAGTTTGCCCATTAGACACCATCCAAGAAGTTTTATAAGGGACCCAGAAGTCTTCCTATATGGGGACTTTGTCCATCTTTAACATAAATATTTCTACCTGGAGACAAGGCAGTGATGTGTATATGCTTGTGATTAAGGCTTTGTTAATAGTTCTAAAATGTGAGCGTGAGTCACTTCTCTGCTCCTTCCTCCTAAGAAGTAGTGTTCACAGTGGTGAGAACATGGACTTCAGCACCGGTTTTACCAGGATTCAAATCCTAGCTCTGCCACACAGACCACCCTGGCAAGTTATTAAACTTTCTGTGCCTCGGTTTCCCTGTCTCTAGAGTGAGGATAGAATCGACTTCCCTGTCTGTATGGTCAGGTTCCTTTTCGATAGACACCTTTCCCTCCATGTTAACGAAGAACACAAAAATGCCTTCCAGAATAAGAACCCATGGAGCAACTCAAATTGAAAGGCTTGCCGTGTGTGTGTGTGTGTGTGTGTGTGTGTGTGTGTGTGTGTGTGTAAGAAACTAGGGAATGGAATTGATTCTACCTTCCGTTAAGTCCAACAACAAAGCCATTTCTCAGTCATCCTTTGAAATAAAATTTCCCAGCCATAGGAAGGACTGAATGGCAATACAGAAAATTACAGCCCACGGGTTCCCAAACTCTGGGCTGCCTCCCAGTTCCCTGGGGAGGTTTGGGGGACTTTGACACCCAAGCCCCACACCGATGGATTCCAACTCGCTATGTCTGAAGTAAGGCCCAGATATCTGCATTTTCCAGCTCCCCACACCCACCCAGGAATCCAGATGCACGTGGCAAGGAGAACAGTTTTTGCCAAAACCTGGCACTCGTCCTCCCTCCCAAATGCAAAAGGAAGAACTACTAACCACTGCCAGTCACTAACAGAGTGGTCAGTTTTCATTCCATCAGCAAACTCATCAGCCTAATGTGGTGTATCTAACTCCGGGGAGTCAAGTTACTGCCTAGGAGATGTGCCCGCAGGGAGGCTCTGAAAAGGCAGCAAGGACTTCCAGGGAGGGGCTGGGAAAACCGGACTTTATGGCTGACCAGGCCCAGAGACAAGACAAAGAGCCTCGAATATGAGTTCTCCAAGTTTCCTTTATAAAACTGTCAGAAGTAGGCTATTGCCTTTTTTAAAATTGTGTAGTCCTGCCTTTTAAAAAAGTATTCTTTATCCATTATCAATAAAACTGTAACTAATCTCAGAGTCCCTGCCTTTAAAAAAATTGTTTTATCTTTATCAAGAAAACTGTAACCAATCATTTCTCCTCCAAATGATCAAAACCCCAGGTAGTTTATTTTCTTGGAATAGACTCGGGTCAGGATAGCCTTTACCCAAACTCATAAAAAGGTCTCCCCCTCCTGATTTTACAGGGAGCCCCTGTAAGCCACGGGTGTTTGTGGAGCAAGGAAAGACAGTTTTGTGGCATCAAATCCATCAGAGCTGGGAATCACTGAACTGAAATATTCCACTGTTTTTGACAGAGTGCTGCGCTGACAAAAGACAGCCAGGAACGCCTCACTGTGCATTAAAAATGCTTGTTTGTCATTCATAGAAATCAGACCTTGATATTGCAAGTTTTCCAAATGGAATCAGAAACTTGCAATCTCTCAAAGTCATAAAATTCCTTACTCTCAGGCTGCTAGGGAAAGTGGAAAGACACAGAGGTGACGCATTTAAATACTGCAGACATCTATTTATCAATCCTAATCATTCAAGTCCCTGGCCACAGTCACATGTCTGCAGGCTTTGACTTCCTGCTGATGCCTTGAGGAATAAAGCAAGGTTGGGTTATTCTAATCATGTTTCTCAAAGCCTCAGAGCCACCTGCAACAGATTCAGCTGGAATGCTTGGGGAAAATGCAGATTGCCGGGCCCTGATCAAGACCATGAGTGGCCCTGAAATGTACATTATCACAAGACATCATCCCCCCAAAATAGTTCTAGGTATTCTAAAATTGTAGGACCGCTATTCTAGGGCTTTGCCTGGGTGGACATATGCCACAAAACAGGATATTTTATTTTATTTTTAATATATTATTGATTTCAGAGAGGAAGGGAGGAGAGATAGAAACATCAATGATGAGAATCACTGATTGGCTGCCTCCTGCACTCCCCCCACTGGGGGTTGAACCCACAACCTGGGTATGTGCCCTGATCAGGAATCTAACCACGACCTCCTGGTTCATACGTCAACGCTCAACCCCTGAGCCTTGCTGGCCTGGCCAAAACAGAAAATTTTTTTAAAAAGTTTTTTAATATGTTTTTATTGATTTTTTTAGAGACAGAGGAAAGGAGAGGGATACAGAGATAGAAACATCATCAATCAATTGCCTCCTACATTCCCCCTACCAAGAACTGAGCCTGCAACCCCGGCATGTGCCCTGAACAGGAATCGAACCGGTGACCTCTTGGTTCATGGGTCAATGCTCAACCACTGAGCCACACCGGCCAGGCAAGACAGGACATTGTTACATTCCTAAGATACCTGGTAGAAACTTCCTATCCTCTCCAGAAAGTGTACCCACTTCCCAAATTCCCTCCTCTTTCTCTCCTCGTGGTCAGGCTCACGGTCACATATCTGATGCACAGTGGAATTCAGTGGAACTTCCTTAGCAGCAAAAACCAGTTGACCGTGACAAAGCTTGGGTGTGAGGGAGACAGGTGTTGTCTACCACAAGGATGACAAATGACTTGGTGGAGCTTCCTCTTACGCAGGCATTAGGTTGTAATGACAGGGCAAAGGTGAGCTTTTATCATCAGAGTTGATCTTGGAAGCATCCAGAGGGGGCACCCTATCAGAGTCTCACACATCATACCCTGATCAGTCCATTAGAGCCAGTGTTTCCTCCAGGGTTGGAAGAGATGACGTCCCTTGGGTTGAGCGTCACTGGGACCGCTCTCCGAGCTCACACTGGCGGCACAGGAGTCATGTCCCCGTCCAAGTTCGTGAGCACTGAGCCAGGGGGTGGTCAGAACCTCCAGCTCCATTTAAGCACTGACTTCTGTCTTCTGGAGCAACAGGAATCGTCGGTGTGCCATACATTAAACCCATATAACCAACACCACTGAACTTACACCTCTGGTGGTCTAGTAGGTGTCTCGAGAGCCAGGCACGCCGCCACTGTGTGTCAGAAATGCTTGTCATTCTTAGAAATAAGAGCCTTCATGTGCCAAGGTTTCCGCTGAGGAAGAACTTGACTTCTAAACAAGGTTACCTGTCTCCCATCAGCAGGCACAGAATTAGCAGACAGTAACCCCTTCTGCACTGGTAACGCTTCTGTCTTATGAACAGACTAGAATGAGTCCTGTCCTAATTGCATTAGGATTGGAAGTAAGCATATATATCAAGGTGCACAAGAAGTTGACTTTTTTGCAAAAACACAAAAACAAATTCATCTTTTGTCCTATGCTACTGGCTGGAGTAGGCTTCCTGCGAATTGTTTTGCACCGATATGTCTTCAGAGAATTGATGTGATCCCGTGATGAAAAATGGGGAAGATTAACTATTCCCAGAAGGTCAGAAGGGCCTTTCTTTGTTGGGTTAGATAAATTGAGGTAAAGACAAATCATCACTAACAATGGCAAGATTTTTGCTTTGAAAAGGCTGTAAACGGGAGGACATGGACAAAGAAATCAGAATAAACATGAAAAAGATGTTCAACCTCACTGGTAACCAGGGAAACACAAGCTAAAGCAACAACAGAATACTCTATTTCCTTTGTCTGGCAGATTGAAGCAATTAAAAAGACGGATAATATCAAGGTCAGTGAGAGTGTGAAGCATTGGATACTCCACTGCTGGTGGAAGAGAGAGCGGGACAGGCTTTGGGAGATCCATTTGGTGTAGCTATTAAACTTTAAAATCCATGTGCTCTCCCACCCAGCAATTCTACTTCTCAGTATCCACCCTGGAGACAGGTGCACAAAAAGGCATGTTCTTTTCCCTTAGCCACACATTAGAATCTCCTGGAGAGCTTTAAAAAATACCAACGCCCAGAGCCCTCCTGGACCAGTTAGATTAGAATCTCCAGTGACAGGGCTGGACACGGGTAGGTGTCAGGGCGCTCGGGATTATTCTGATGTGCAGCCAGGGTGAGAAGCAATGATGTTGATTGCAGCTGTGTTTGAAATGGCGGAAACCTTGCAGCAACCTCAATGTCCATCAGTGAGAAATGGTTAAATAGGCAGTGGGTTCATCTGTGGGATAGAATACACCCTACAATTCAAACATGGAAATCTCCCTTGCTTGGCTTTATAAGGCCCCACATGCTCTCCTTCCCAGCACTCTCCTCTCACTCCTCCACTTCAGTAACATCGAATTTCCTTCTTGGTGGAGCAACACAAATATGCTCCTGCCACAGGGCCTTTGCACTTGCGGGTCCCTCTGCCTAGGATTTCCTTCCTCCTGAAATCCACATGGCTTGTTCCCATCATTCCTTCAGATACTTGCTCATATGTTACATTAGCGGAGAGGGTAGCCCTGACCAACTTTGCTAAAACAGTGCCTACAGCCCACCCTTCTTCTCTCTGTCCCCTTGTCCAACTTTACCTTTCTTCCTAGGATCACCCCCTCAGAAATTATATATACACAGTTACTTATATATTTATATGTTTATTATACTATTTCAGATGTATTTATATACCAATATATAATCTCTAGAGGCCTGGTGCACAGATTCATGCTCCCGTGGGGTCCCTCAGCCTGGCCTGTGTCCTCTTGCAATCCAGGACTCCTTGGGGGATGTCAGACTGCCGGTTTCGGCCCATCCTGCCGAAACCAGCAGTCCGACATCGCCCGAGGGGTGTAGTAGTGTGCAAAGCAGCAAGCGGCCAGGGAGGAGCCAGAGCCCGAGCTGAAGCCCGGGCCAGGTGCCACTCACGTTCATCCGGCCCCACTGCGCCTGCCACAGCCTCCACTCAGTATCGCTGCCGCAGAGGGGGGAGAGGCTTGTGCAGCCACAGCTGCACTCGCCAGCCATGAGCCTGGAATCTGGCGCCCGTTGGTCAGCTGAGAGGCGCTTTCACTGTGGGAATGCACTGACCACCAGGGGGCAGCTCCTGCATTGAGCATCTGCCCCCTGGTGGTCAGTGCACATCATAGCGACCAGTCACCCAGTTACTTAGGCTTTTATATACACTGAGTGGCCAGATTATTATGACCACCTGACGTTTGTAGGCAAATTAGCTATAATTTCAAACTGAAGTTGCTAGAGGGCCAGACCATTATAAATAGGGAAGCAGGTTGTTTACCACGACAGAAGTGATTTTTTTCTGAAGATATGGGTAAACAATGTGATTTAACAGCCTTATATATATATATAGATATAGATATAGATATAGATATAGATAGATATAGATATAGATATAATATATAGATATATGTTTTTATGGTGTTTCCTCCTGCTGAAACGAAAACTCCAGGAACATTCTCATTCCCGTCATTGCCCATAATAATAGAACATAACACTTCAGGGTGCTTACTTTGAAGGTAGACTGTTGGGGTTTAAATCCAGGTGCTCCCTCAAAGTAGCCATGTGCCCTTTTAACCAATTTGTGCCTCAGTTCTCTCATCTATGAAATGGGGATAAAACAGTGCCTATTGCCCAGCCGGCATGGCTCAGTGGTTAAGCATTGACCTATGAACCAGGTGGTCACGGTTCCATTCCTGGTCAGGGCACATGACTGAGTTGCAGGCTCCATCCCCAGTGTGAGGTGTGCAGGAGGCAGCCAATCAATGATTCTCTCTCACCATTGATATTTCTATCTCTCTCTTTCTTTCCCTTCCTCTCTGAAATCAATAAAAATATATTAAGGGAAAAAAAACAGCCCTAACCGGTTTGGCTCAGTGGATAGAGCGCCGACCTGCGGACTGAAGGGTCCCAGGTTCGATTCCTGTCAAGGGCATGTACCTTGGTTGCAGACACATCCCCAGTAGGGGGTGTGCAGGAGGTAGCTGATCGATGTTTCTCTCTCATCGATGTTTCTAACTCTCTATGCCTCTCCCTTCCTCTCTGTAAAAAATCAATAAAATATAATTTTTAAAAAAAACAGTGCCTATCTCATAGGGCTGTGAAGATTAAACTGTGTAAAGCACAGTGCTGGGCCCAGGGTCCTCACTCTGTAGCTGTTGGTGGTATTATAGCAGCGCCCAGAGCACTGCCGGCTGTAAGCACTGACTGGATAAATGAATGAGTTATACACAGAGACATGGCATGATCCCATTTATGTAAACACACCCACAAGATGAATTTCTAAGTGCATATTTATGGATTTAATGCAGAGGAAAAAGTGTCTGGAAGCAGCATGCCAAATGCTAACAGTGCTAGTAACCCTTAAGGGGAAATGCTCACAAGGCATTTTGCTGCATCTGTATCATTTAGGGTTGTTTTGGGGGGTTTTTTTGCGGGAGCCACGGGCAAAATAAAATACATTTCCAAACACAATCTGTTCCTCCAAGGTGCTCAGACTCCAAAGCATGCAGTTCTGCTAGTCCACGTCAGCACTTGTCTAATCAGAGTAATCGCCGTGGAAAAAGGACGCCCGGGGCGAGAAGGCTGGTCCGGCTGTCTTTCTCTCCTTCTCACTCTGTCTGTTTGCACCACACAGATCCTGAGCAGCCGGCAGTCGCCCCACGCAAGGAGGGTGGACCTCATCCACACACACCCCAGAGGAGTTTCTGAGGAATGGATCCTGACTTCCGACTGTGAGATCTTTTCCTCCAGGACTCTCCAGAGGCAGGTCCCTGGCAAATGAACTTTAAAGTCCAAAATGAAGGAAAACCAAGCAGCACAGCCAGATCTGCCAGCCATTGATTTTTTTTTAATCAAATCTCACTGTTTCAGTTTAGCAAAAGCCATTGTGTCCATTCCTCTTCTCCAGAGATGAGCCTCAGGAAATCCCATTACTTTTCGGGGGGAGGAGGGGTGGAGGGAGTTCTAGGAAGAGCAATGGATGATGGTATTTGCAGCATGTTTACCGTTGTCTAATAGAGCTGAGTCTGTGCATTTTTTCCTTTTATTTTTACATGTGGTAGCTTCGCTTCAATCTTCAGTAGCTCCTCCCTTATCAAAGACAAATACAGGAGCCTCTGGCCATTGGTCTTGGCCCAGTTTTCCTAAAGGCCCCCTTCCCTGCTTGCATCCACCGTTGGTCAACTTGACCTGGACCTCACTCTCCACCCCAACAGAGAGAACGTAGTGGTCAATTCTAGGTACATAAGCACCCTCCCCATCCCAGTCTTGGGAATAAACTGGCTGTGTTTATGGAATGTGCTTTTTTCCCAAACTCTCTCTCTCTCTGTGTGTTTTTTGTTTTGTTTTGGGTCTTTTTGCAAGTCTCAGGCAAGGTCTTTGATTTTCCTGGATGCCACCTGGAAATGCCACCCCTTGTATTTCTTTTCTGTCAAATGTAAGCCCTTTAGGTGTGATTATACCGGTTTGATGGCGCCATTATTCTGCCTGCCAGAACACGCCAGCCCCGTGTTCCACAGAGTGCGAGGCATACCACTGGTGGTCCACAATTTTTAAGTCGTTTATAGACGCAACAGTAAATGACGCTGAATCACAGAGAACATTTCCCCTTTCTATTCTTTTTCAATCTCTGTTTAGGGCTCATGGGTCCTTAACACCTTTTTGAAATGTTGGCTCCTTTCCTGTCTCAGGAAAGAAAGAGCAGGTCTCAGGTTCAAAGTCTTCTGTCGAGATAGAACGTAATACATGGTGTTGTGGTCATTATGTTTATTAATTACCTTCCATTTATGGCTTCCTCTTAGGGATTTGATATATCGTTTCTGTTAAAATAAATTTACTTGAAAAATAAGTGGACTCAGCAAATATCAAGTGATTAACACAACAGGTGACATGTACATATGGCAAAAATGAGCTCAAGAATATTGGAGACACGGTGATAACGAACTTCCTTTCCTAAGAGAAAAGGCAGCTTATTCTAAGTGAATGAACATGAGGCTGAGTCAAAGCACCTGGATGCCACGTGTGTCCCTGGCTGACTATGCAAATTGATGTTAGGCAAGTTTCTCCGCCTCTCTGTGAAATTTCTTCTTCAGGAAAAATGGAGATAACAACACCTGCCCACATACCTCCGTGTTGTTATGAGAATGAATTGGCATAGAGTGCTTGTTCCTAGATTATTGTGAATCTCAGGCATTGTGAAGATCCCGGACCCCTGCAAAAAACAGACTTTGACGGACATCGGATTCTGCCTGTCACTTCGCCCAGGTGTCCGTCATGAGCCAGCACTTGTCCCAGGAGGACACTGAATTAGGGTCATGAAGCCTCAGCACACGGAGATCCGAGTGCCATTCCAGGAGATTGGATCCTCATCTCTGTTTCTGACATCGTGGGGTTTTTTTGTTTGTGTTTGGCTCCCTGAACTTTTACCCAAATCAAATGCAAAGGGTTGCTAAGAGGCAGAATAAAAATGGTTTTAAGTAATCCTGTTTACCACAGTGTGTAAATGGTGTTTTCTTGGGGTTCCCAACCTTCTAGAGACTCCCCGTACCAAAATGGGCTCATGGATAGTAGCCTCCATCTGTAGGGAAGACCACAGAGAGGCCAGGGGTGGGCCAAACAGGTATCAACTCAGAACTACTTATGGCCTGAAAAGCCCTTCTAGGAGGCATTGAAAATGGGGATCCAATAAAGTCACTGAGTGAGCTCCCTGGGATCGAGAGAGGGGTCTGATTTTTGCTCTCTCCCCGCCACCCCCGCCCCCAGCCTGGCAGAGAGTTTTCATAGTGACAAAGCAGGTGATGGTCTTCTCCAGATGCCCCTGCTCCACTCCAAAAAGCACAGATAGAAAAAGGATTGACCAAGTGCATCAGCCAGGGCACTCTTTCAGCAGCCAGTGACCAAAAAAAGAAAAGAAAAGAGCTAGAACAAAGAGTTTACTGCCTCACACAACTGAAAATTCCAGGGATGGCGTCAAGTGTGGCTGGGTCTTGGTGCTCAGCCTTTATTAAGAACGTCACCCTATCTGTGTCTCTTCCTAATAACTACAAAGAAAAAAAAGTTCAATTCGAAATAATGCACAATTGATTCGGAACTGGAACCACCCCATCAGAGTGGACAGCAGCCATCAACAAGCAGGTGCAGCCCTGCTTCCCACACAAGCTGCTGCCCTGGCCAGGGGTGCGTGGCTCCCGCGTTAGCCGACCTGGGGCACAATCCAGCCAGTGGAGCTCAGGGTGAGGTCAGCTCCACCCAAGCTTTATGGACTGAGGGTGTGGGCAGGTTTCCCAAAGGAAAACCAAAGTGCTGTTACCAGAAGGAGAGGTGAGAAAGGAACAAAACAAAAACCACTGTCTGCATTAAGCTTGCTGCTTCTCCCTGTGCCTACCACCCGCAGGACAAAAGTAATCCCATCACTTTTCAAACCGTTTCTCCACTCGGCTGTCACCCACATCCATTTCCTCATTCAATCATTATTTACAGAGCACCCATCCGGCCATAGAAATGGGGCTAGGCTTTGGAGATGCCGAAATGATCGAGAGAGAATCCTGGAAGGGTTCACCGTGGAGCAGGGGAGCAGGTGCCCACACAATTAGAAAGAACTTCAGCTAAGACAGAGGCAGGAACAGTGTCTGGCAGTCACTGTGCAGGAGGGAGGACTGGCTGGTCCCGAGGGGAAGCCTCGGGGGCGAATGTCCCTGTCCCACCACTCCGTGATTGCTAAGGCTGAGACTGCTCTGGATGCTGCCCTGTCTTTGCCCACGAGTTATGGGCAGAAGCAGATGCAGACACAAAATCGCTGGCCTCAGCTCCTGTATCAGCAAATTATCTTTGGCTGACACCGGGACAGCTGCATTCAGCAAAACAGTGCTCGGCCTGTATCTTGATACGTAACCCTAGACCCAGGCTTCTAAATATAAGAAACAGTTTTGGGTCACTGACTACAAAAAATATATATATTATTTTAAGACAGCGTCCACATTCATTAGTTACTACCAGTCCTTCAAAATTACTCCTGGATGTGGCATATTTGAGCCTGGAGAGTTACCCTATAAAAATAGGTCTCTAAGCCCAATACTCTGAATTGTGATTTTTGACAAATACAAAGAGAGGCATAAGGACCACCCAAGCATCACCCATCACCCCTGGAGAAGCCTCAGAAAGAAGGCATCCCCTTCCCAATAGAGACGGACTTATCTGTGATTTGTTCCCACAGAGATTTATTCATCTCGGGTCAGGAGCGGGGGTGCGGAGTGGCCCTTGTGCATGCTTGGTGTCAGGCATTTGAGTGTCTCCTGGGCACCTACCTGTTCTAAGGCCCGGATGAGTGGCCAGATCAAGTCTGCGGTGGTCCAGTCACAATGTTCATCCCCTTTCCCGTCCGAGTGTACACCTGCCCACTTCACACTCAGACGCTGGTTCACCGAGGTGCTCTGGCGTCTAGTTTTCCAAAGCTGTCTGCTCCTGGCACTGTTGATTGGCCAGGTGACATGGAATCCTGTGTATGGGGACGAGCTGTGCTTCCGAGGGAGTGTACAGACAGGAACTTGAGAAAGGCCAAATCCTGCCTCTGCAGAGGCAACAAGTGGCTGGTGACCGGCAGGAAAGAGGCCCTAACTCACACACCAGCACCTTGTCGGCAAGTAAATACAATATTTCCCGAGCCAGTGCCAAAGTTCATCCAAACCATCACATAGCTTTCTCCTGGGTCTCCCTGCCTATTCATCTCTGACTGATGCTGTAATACTACAAACTCAGGGACTTGAAAACAGCCCACACTTGTTCTCTTACAGGCTGGGAGGTCAGACGTCTGAAATGGGTCTCACTGGGCCAACATCCAGGTGCCGGCAGGGTTGCAATCGTTTCTGGAAGCTCTAAAGGAGAATCCGTTTCTTGCCTTTTCCACCTTCGAGAGCGGCCCACACTCCTGGGCCCCTGGCCTCCTTCCATCTGCAGTCAGCAATGGCCACTGTACTCTTTCTCGCATCAGATCTCTCTGGTTCTGACTCCTTTGTCTCCCTCTTTCTGATTAAGGACTCTTGTGATTACATTCCTCCCTCTCCCCCAATCCAGAATAATCTCCTTATTTTAAAGGCAGCTGATTAACAGCCTTAATCCCATCTGCTACCTTAATCCCCCCCTTGCCTTGTAACCTAACATATTCACAGGTTCCAAGGATTTCGTACGGGATGTCTTTGGAGGACCATTATTCCGCCTACGCATGCTGCTTTCACATTCATTCCCTGAAAGCACTCACACACAGCCCTGCCATCTCAAAACCTAAACGGAACCATGTCATTCCTCTGCTAAACCCCCAGCCACCCACCCACCCAGTGAAAATCCTAACATTTAACCATGGCCCGCAAAGCCCTAGGTGATGAGAGCCCTGGCTGCCTCTCAGAACTCATTTCCTACCATCCCGCTCCCTCACGCTGCTGTACCCACACACTGGCCTCCCTGCTGTTCCCCAAACATGCCACATCATTCCTGCCTCAGGGCCTTCGTATGTGCCAGTTCCTCTGCCCAGACAGTTTCCTGGATTTTCAGTTAGCTGGCCCTTCCTCTTCCTCCAGGTCTCAGCTGCTCACCTAAGGCAGCCACCCCACCCCTAATCCCTCACCATCCCTTCACCCTGTTTTATTTCCTCTGCACCTAGAAAAGGATGTAGCACATGGCAGATGCTCTACACATATTTCTCGAATGGGTAAAAGGCTCTTCTCCCATATGCCCTCCCTCTAGCCAATGTCCATGCCTTTGCCTCTGCTTCTTCTCTGACATGCCAGCTCTCCAGGATGTAGGGTCTCCTTGCTGCATGCTCACCCAGCCCTGTAACTTACTTCAAGGGCTCCCACAATGGGAATAAGAAACAGTCATCAAGTGTGTAATGATCACTTCCTGTCTGTCCACCCCAGCGCTCCATCAGCCCCTCTGAGAGCAGGAGTCTTTCACCTCTGCACACCTGGTGCTTGGCCTACAGGTTTCCAGTCATTACTTGTTGACTGTAAGAATGAGTAAATATGTCATGAGTAAGGGTGTAAACGCAGGGAGAGATGGTAAAGGAGAACAGAACCAAATACTGCTTCATCACCTTGGCCTTATTTTTACATTCTGCCTTGGCAGCTTTAAACCTGATTTCTGAAGTAAGATGTGATCAACCAAGGACTTGGTTCGAAGTCCTGATCCAAAACATCCTCACTTATTTTGTTGTCGCTTTTATCATGATGGTTTAGAAAAAGAAAATCATGAAAATGCATGCAACACCCAAAAGTTATTTCAAGAAGATATGGATCCAAATAAACCCCAACTTGTGTGGGTGGCCTTTCCCCAGGGCTTCCTTTGGGGCTGGACTGCCCCCTAGTGGAAGCGAGAGAAAAGCACTTTAGGGTGCCCCTTTGAGGAATAGCCTATTTCTTTGCTTTTTATAATCCTTTGTGTTTGTGTAACGGGTTCCAGAAACAAGCTGGAGGGAAATTGCACAACTTTGATAGAGAAAAGAAGCAACAGTTTCCAGAGTAACCTTTAAAGAAAAACGGAAACGGAGATAATGCTTTAAAAGATTATAGTGTGTCCGGCACTGTTCTAAGCACTTGTGCCATTTAATCTTTGTAAGAACCAACTGACTAAGCTACGATTTATTGTCCACTTTTGATAAATGGGGAAACTGAGGCATGGGAAGGTTAATAACTTGCCAAGGGCCATAACTAGAAAGTGGTAGATGCAGGATTTGAACCTGGGCAGGCTGGCTCCAGGGCCTCGACTCCCCCCAGGACCAAACCTGCCAGTAGTCACTAGTTCAAAGCACTAAGGTACAGTCAGTTGCTTTTGAAAGATTTTTGGCTGATTTCCAGGGTAATTTTCAGGCTAGCTCACTCTAAGACTTAGTACTGACCTTAAAATTCTCAAAAGCAAGGTAGGCACAATTATTCTCATCTCTGTTCTTTAGAAACACTAAAGGTTGGTAAGAGTAAAATTCCCAGTGACTGTGGAAGACAAAGGCTGGCTCAGTGAGGCTTATTCTTAAATCTCTATATTCTGCAATTCTAAACTTAGCTATTTTGCCCCCCAAAAAGTTGCTTAATCATTTTTTTGAAAAAGTAGGTAACTATAAAATAATACTATGGCAAATATATGGTTTACTATCTGCTAAGTATTGTGCTAAGCCTTTAAAATGTACTTTCACTCAATTGTCATTAACAACCGAGAGCCGAGGCCGGTTTGGCTCAGTGGATGGAGCGTCGGCCTGCGGACTGAGGGGTCCCGGGTTCAATTCCGGTCGAGGGCATGTGCCTGGGTTGCGGGCACATCCCCAGTGGGGGATGTGCAGGAGGTGGCTGATCGATGTTTCTCTCTCATCGATGTTTCTGGCTCTCTGTCTCTCTCCCTTCCTCTCTGTGGAGAATCAATGGAATATATTAAAAAAAAAACCGAGATATAAACACGGTTATTAATTCATCTCTTCCTCTGAGAAAACTGAGGCACAGAGAAGTTCAATT